CATATTTACATTTTTTTCATTTGTTTTGTTACCAATACACAGGTAATAGTCCTATAATATAGAATACAATAGAAAAATATTTTTTTTTTGTGAGGAATCGAACCAATGTCTTTAAATATTTAGCTCTATTCACCCTGTATATTATGACGTTACCATTTTTATTAAGTCGTTCTCTTGATAATTTAAAATAAATCAATTTTCATAAAAAAACGTATTTAAAAAGCTAAATAGTGTATATTACGTCACTTATGCTAACCTATAACTAATCCCACAGTTTTACAAAGGGACACAATATTGCTGCTGGACGTCTGACTGTGTCTGAAACCATTTAGTCGCACGCACCTAATTCAGACACATTTAGCCGATACCATCTCCGACTTCTTCGCCGCCGACGGGTGGCCTAAGGCCTATCTCTTGTCAGCGAGCCAACAAATATTATTTTTCCATTAGGGGCAGGTAGCTCCGATGGAATGTGTAAATCATGAAGGCCGCGGTGGAAATACTTTTCCAAGAAGGTTTTTCCAGACCATTATCTGATGAGAGTATTTTTCCTAACAGCGCTCTCCTCGAGGCCGCGGCATTTATTAAAACCAGACATTTATCGCTACTTCTTATTCCCGACCTCACATTACCCCTTCATCCTGCACATTCGGTGAATAAAAAAAGAAAAAAGAAAAGAAATTCTTCAGAGTTTTCCCTATCGACTTCCATAAAACTTAGGAGGCATTGAATATTTCATTTTCATTTTAAGCAGGAATTGAATTATATGTTTAGACACAAATAAAAAACTCTGCAAATTATTACACTGCAGTTTATTATTTCCAAACAATTTTTTTTATTTATTTATTTAGAAATCTAATAATCTGTCACATGGACAATAATTATAGTGAGATATGAACTCATTCACACCATATGTACAGAAAACATAAAATTAACAAAAGTAAAACAATAATCAAACAACTATGTGCAATAAAAAATAAAACAACATAAAGATAAGTAAATTAAAAATATAAAAACTCAGTCCTACCTATATACAATACATAATCAGGAAGGGAACCCAAGGTCAGGATTGTCCCTCCAACTATAGAGAGGAAAGCAGGAATCCAGGAGATCCCAGTGCTACTCTCTCAACCGCGTCACTGGTGCTAAATCCAGTGGAGATTGAGCGAGAGCGCTCCAAACAATTTAACACCAAAATTAACATTACTTTGCATGTAACGTAAAAGAAAATAAATAAAAGATATTTCCTTATATTGGCCTAAATATTTTGCTGATTATTTTTAAAAACAATAGACAACATTGCTTCAGTTGATACAAGGCTTTCAAAAAAACAAAAACCAAAACAAAAGATAAAAGCTTTGATATAAACAAATAAAAATAAATAAGTTTTTTTATTCGATTTTCAAATTCTTCCTATCTTTAAAAAACGCGATATCTTTACTAATAATGCTCTGATTTACATGGACTTTGTTTTTTTGTTTTTTTTTAAGAGAATTTAAATACTTTTGAAACACCTGATTATAAGAATCCAAAAAAATGTATACTTCTCGAATTATTCGAAAATCTAATTTTAGCATCCCTCGTAACTTTTTTTCCTGCTACTTATCGTTGAAGTACGTTATGTAGATAAATTAGATAAAGTCGTTTCTATGGTAAAGAAGCTCAACTCATCACTATCTTTATATAATATTTCTCAAACTCGATTTTTTTTTTTTTGGCGCAACTTAACTTCGTCAATTCTTCATCAAATCTAATGATTGAGCCCGTATTTTGAAGGGCATCTTCTCTATCAGGTGGAAAAAAAGACACCTCCCCCAAAAATTTTTTATGAAGGAAGCGAAATTTTATTTGCGAATTTGCGAACAACTCAAAAAGTATGTTTTTTTTCTAAACTGTACTCATGATTAGTAAATGTTCTAAAAGACAAAAAACAAAAATAATAAAAAATAGGACTATTATTACCAAACATACAGTCCACTAGATTTAATATACATAAAAATTTGTTCCTATTGGAAGATCCTGCATTAACTATTCTATTAACTACTGTTTTTTCCAGGCTGATATATATATATATATATATATATATATATATATATATATATATATATATATATATATATATATATATATATATATATATATATATATAGATATAGATATATACTTCATTATTTCTGAAAGGTATTTTTGTTGGTTAGTTTTATATTGGTTTATTATTTTTAATGATGAACCATTGTAACCGAACAAAAAATACGTAGATTTCGAAAAACGAATACAATTTTTTTCGTCCATTCGTCCGCCGGCCATCTGCGCATTTTTTTACTGCAGCGATTTTTTATCAAATTTAGATTTAAAGTCAGAGATCATCGGAGGATGATCCTCCTTCATCGACATTACTATCCCCCCTTTCCTTTCAAATTAGCGGCCAAAAAACTGTACTGTATTAGTAGCTATAGACTGTACCGCCTAAACGAATGTACGGATTTCAATGAAACTAAAGTTTTTTTCTCAATGCACTTTAAATTTATCTATATAACATACTTCAACGAAAACAAGCTGGAAAAAAAGTTACAAGGGATGGTAAAATTAGATTCCGAATAACTCAAAAAATATACACTTTTTCGTTAATATTGCAGTTATTTAAAATGTATTTAAAAATATTTGAAATCGGACAATTTGGAGCAAACATATGGTCTCTAGATGTTTTTTATATGTTCTACAGCAAAAGTTATATCCTTTGTTTTGGTTTTTGAATTTTAATGTGTTACTGAAGTAATGCTATTTTTTTAAAGCAAATTACTAATGATGAAAAAAAATGTTTAGGCAAATAATTGGAATTATTTTTTTATTTCTTTTAATTTGCCACTGGAAATGTTATGTTTATTAGAATACATTAGATGTATAATTGTTGGGAAATAATAAACCATTGTGAAATAGTTTGCAGCGTTTTTTTGTGTTTATAATATAGAAAATCCTGTTGTGGAGGCCTTATTTTGAATATGTTTGGTAATATTCAGCGTTTATAAATAGGCCCTTGAAAAGTAATATGTACAAATATTCTGGTCTATTTTGTTAAATGAAATATTATATTCGATGAAGGAAAACACACGTAATTCCTTCCTCACATAGTACATAAGATTACCTATTTGCATATTATTACATATTGCATATTATATACTTATTTGCTGATCTCCAGATTGGAAACACCCCTATTCCGAGAATTTAGTTGCGTACAGCAAGACTCGGATAGTTCTTCCGGAACTATCGGATCCTGCATTTTTAAGCCCCAAAACGTACTATTTTCGAGATAACGCAAGGCATATTGTTTGCATCCACACAACCTTACGTTAATTGTAGTACTGTCATTGAATACATGTCTCATTTCGTCGACTTGAGGTCTCTATGATCGATAGAGGAGCAGTTTATATTATTTATCGATGGTGTTTTTGATCGGCAAGCCATATCATCGTCAATTCTTCACAAAATCTCAAGATTGAGCCACCAATTACGAAGGCTTCCTTCTCCTCCAGGCGAGTAAAATAGTCCAATCACCCAGAAAATTCATGCAAACAAGTTCTGAAAGAAACTTTATTTGCGAATAACTAAAAAATTTCACACTTTTCCTTGGTTATACCCATGATTATATAAAAGATTTACTATATTCCCTACAAAAGGAAAAATAAAATCATTGAAATTGAACAATGTTTAGCAAAGATACAGCTTACTAAAATTTGTAAACATGTTGATTCCAAACCAAAATGAAGATATTAATTATTAATTTCACTTACGTATATATGTAATATATAGTAAGGGTAAGTATGGCGATCGAGAAAATTTTTGAATCTGAGTTTTCAACGGAAATACAGGTTTTGAGGTACCCTGAGTCGAAATAACCAAGTCCCGAAAAATGGTCTGTGTGTTTGTATGTTAGCAGTCTAGCTCAAAAACGAAAAGTCGTACGAAACTGATATTACGTATTTAAGATAAAAAATAAAAACGCTAAATATAACTCTTGAAAGAATTTGATAAGTTAATAAAGGAGAAAAAAATAAAAATGTAGAAAAACCTGCGTTGCTATAGACTGCAACGCCTAAACGAATGTACCGATTTAAATGAAACTTTGCTAAAGTCATTTTCTCGACACCCTTTAAAGTTATCTATATAATATACTTCAACGAAAAGAAGCTGGAAAAAAAGTTACGAGGGATGGTAAAATTAAATTCCGAATAACTCAAAAAGTATAAACTTTTTTGTCGATATTGTAAAATCGACAATTGTTAAAATCGGACAATTAGGAGGAAAGATATTGTCTCTAGATTTTTTTTTTAATATGTTCTGCTTCAAAGCTTATTTTTTTTTGTTTTATCAACTTACTCACTGTCTGCATAGATAACATTTTCAACTAAAAATATCACTAAAATGACTTGATTGGAAATGAATTGGAGTTAGTCATTCTATGGTTTATAAAAGCAAAGAAAGTTGTGTGGTTTGTAAAAGCAGAGGGAGTGACTAGATTATTATAGCCAGTCGTCGATATATTAAACAGACATTTTTTAATTATAATGGTCTTAATGACTTGTTATCTGTAAGCTTTAAAGTTTATCTCTGTTTAAATTGCACTTAAAAATTTTTTATAATAGCCCAGCATTGCCAGAAAGTAATTGCTATTCAAAGTAGAGCGGTAAGAGAAATTCGCGTGTTGCGCGCACCATATTTTTTTTGTTTCTTATGTCGATTATATTTATCGATAAAGTAACATTCGATGTCTTTACCTTTTGATACGTTGCATTATTTTATTTTATTATTAATTTGGCATTTGATAACAATATGCTGTACGAATTTTTTCGCACGGGCCTACTAGATAATAATAAATCCTTAAGGATGAGATACCACGAGCGGGTACCCCGAGTGGCCTCCACTTCGCGGCACACTCCGCGGTACCCCGAAGATCGCGCCGCCTGCAGAGGGCGCTGGTGGGGGCGGCGGGAGCTTAGTCCGCCATGGACGAGGCGCTGTGCCAGATCGGGCAGAGCGGTCCTTACCAACAGCTGCTCCTCTACTTCGTGCTCCTTCCGTGCGTCCTCCCGTGCAGCTTCCACGCCTACAGCCAGCTCTTCATGTCCTCCAGTCCGGAGCACTGGTGTGCCCCCCCGCCGCACCTCAGGGCCCAGCAAAATATCAGGTAGGGAACAGGAAAAAAAAAAAAAAAAAAAATCAGAAAAAAATTTTCCTAAAAAAACTGTACCTAAATCATCATTTAAACTATTTTTTTCTATTTTTATTTCGATTTTATTTACTGAAATAATTATTGTTTGAATTTGTTTATATATGTTAAATTTTAATTAATTGTCTAAAATATAATACAGGAATATAAAGGGAAATCTCAGGTAGGCTCAAGTAAAAAATAAAAATCAGAAAAAATGTTTTCTAAAAAGTGAACCTAAATCATCATTTAAACTATTTTTAAACGAAAACTATTTTTATTTTTATTTTATTTACTGCAATAATTAATGTTTGAATTTTTTTTATGTGTTTTCAAAATATTTTATATATATTAAGTATTTTAATTAATTGTCGAAAATATAATACACGAATATAAAGGAAAACCTCAGGTAGGGTCAAGTAAAAGAAAAAAAAAAATTCCTAAAAAGTGAACTTAAATTATCATCACGAAAAACTATTTTTCTATTTTTATTTTGATTTTCTTTACTAAAATTATTGTTTGAATTTTTTTTATGTTTTTAAAAATATTTTATATATGTTAAGTATTTTAATTAATTGTCGAAAATATAATACAGGCTTATAAAGGAAAAGGTAGGGAACAGTAAAAAAAATCCTAAACAAAGTGTGCCTAAATCGTCATTTAAACTATTTTTAAACGAAAAACTATTTTTATTTCGATTTTCTTTACTGCAATAATTATTGTTTGAATTTATTTAGTTTTTTAAAAATATTTTATATATGTTGAGTATTTTAATTAATTGTCAAAAATATAATACTGGAACATAAAGGAAAATCTCAGTCAGGTAGGGTCAAGTAAAAAAAAAATCAGAAAAATATTTCCTAAAAAAGTGTACCTAAATCATCATTTAAACTACTTTTAAACGAAAAACTATTTTTCCTATTTTTATTTCGATTTTCTTTACTGAAATAATTGTTTTTTGAATTTTTTTAATGTTTTTTAAAAATATTTTATATATTTTAAGTATTTTAATTAATTGTCGAAAATATAAAGGAAAATCTCAGGTAGGGGCAAGTAAAAGAAAAAAAAAATATTTCCTAAAAAAGTGTTCCTAAATCATCATTTAAACCATTTTTAAACGAAAAATATTTTTTCTATTTTTATTTCCATTTTCTTTACTAAAATAATTGTTTTTTGAATTTTGTTTATGTGTTTTCAAAATATTTTATATGTGTTAAGTATTTTAATTAATTGTCGAAAATATAAAGGAAAATCTCAGGTAGGGGCAAGTAAAAGAAAAAAAAAAAATATTTCCTAAAAAAGTGTTCCTAAATCATCATTTAAACTATATTTAAACGAAAAATATTTTTTCTATTTTTATTTCGATTTTCTTTACTAAAATAATTATTGTTAAAATTAAAAAAAAAATTATATATGTTAAGTATTTTAATTAATTGTCGAAAATATAATACAGGAATATAAAGGAAGATCTCAGGTACGGTCAAGTAAAAAAAAAAAAAAAAAAAAAAAAATCAGAAAAATGTTTTCCTAATAAAGTGTTCTTAAATCATCATTTAAACTAATTTTTCTATTTTTATTTCAATTTTCTTTACTGCAATAATTATTGCTTGAATTTTTTTATGTGTTTTCAAAATATTTTATATATATTAAGTATTTTAATTAATTGTCGAAAATATAATACAGGAATATAAAGGGAAATCTCAGTCAAGTAGGGTCAAGTAAAAGAAAAAAATCAGAAAAATATTTCCTAAAGAAGTGTACCTAAATCATCATTTAAATGAAAAACTATTTTTTCTAATTTTATTTCCATTTCCTGTACTGAAATTATTGTTTGAATTTTTTTTTTAAAATATTATATATATGTTAAGTATCTTAATTAATTGTCGAAAATATAATACAGGAATATAAAGAAAGATCTCAGGTAGGTCAAGTAAAAAAAAAAAAAAAAAATCAGAATTTTTTTCCTAAAAAAGTGTACCTAAATCATTATTTAAACTATTTTTAAACGAAAAACTATTTTTATTTCGATTTCCTTTACTAAAATTATTGTTTGAATTTTTTAAAATATTTTTTAAAAATATTACATATATGTTAAGTATTTTAATTAATTCTCGAAAATATAATACAGGAATATAAAGAAAGATCTCAGGTAGGGGCAAATAAAAAAGAAAAAGAAAATCAGAAAATTTGTTTCCAAAAAAAGTGTACCTAAATCCTCAATTAAACCATTTTTAAACGAAATTTTTTTTTCTAATTTTATTTCGATTTTCTTTACTGCAGTAATTATTGTTTGAATTTTTTTTTTTATATTTTTAAAAATATTTTATGTATGTTAAGTATTTTAATTGTCGAAAATATAATACAGGAATATAAAGGAAAATCTCAGGTAGGGACCTGTAAAAAAAAAAAAAAAATATATCAGAAAAATATTTCCTAAATCCGAAAACGTGTATCTAAATCAACATCAGGAAAAAAATATTTTTTTATACTTTTATTTCAATTTCCTTTACTGAAATTATTATTTGAATTCTTTTTATGTTTTTCAAAAATATGTTATATGTGCTAAATATTTTAATTAATTTTCGGAAATATCCTATATATTATTTCTATGAGGTTTTTTTTTGTCGGTACGCCATAACTTCGTCAATCTTCATCAAATCCAATGATTGGCAGCTGATTTTGAAGAAATTCTTCTCCTTCACGTGCGAAAAATAATCCTATCCCCTGGAATTTCTGGAAAAAAAGTTATGAAGGAAAAGAAACTTTATTTGCGAATAACTCGAAAAGTGTGCGTTTTGCATTGGGTTGTACCCATGATAATTAGAAAGATTTCTAAATTGACTACAGAACAAACAGTAATCTAAAAGAAAATCTGTTTCCTAAAAAAGTGTACCTAAATCATCATTTAAACTATTTTTAAACGAAAAACTATGTTTTTATATTTTTATTACGATTTTCTTTGCTTAAATAATTATTGTTTGATATATTTTTTTTTTTATGTTTTTTCAAAATATTTAATATATGTTAAGTATTTTAATTAATTCTCGAAAATATAATACAGGAATATAAAGAAAGATCTCAGGTAGGGCCAAGTAAAAAAAAAAAAAAGAAAATCAGAAAATTTGTTTCCAAAAAAAGTGTACCTAAATCATCATTTAAACTATTTTTAAACGAAAAATATTTTTTCTATTTTTATTTCGATATTATTTACTGCAATAATTATTGTTTGAATTTTTTTTATGTTTTTAAAAAATATTTTATATACGTTATGTATTTTAATTAATTGTCGAAAATATAATATAGGAATATAAAGGAAAATCTCAGATAGGGTCAAGTAAAAGAAAAAAAAATTCCTAAAGAAGTGTACCTAAATCATCATTTAAACGAAAAACTATTTTTTCTAATTTTATTTCAATTTCCTATACTGAAATTATTGTTTGAATTTTTTTTTTGTATTTTTTCAAAATATTTTATGTATGTTAAGTATTTTAATTAATTGTCGAAAATAGATTACATATCTATAATTTTAAAATAACAAAACACTTCTGTGTGTGCTTTAGACTACACGATAGAAATGAAAACGTCAACAAGGCCAGATTAATAATATCGAATATAAATTTATACCGAATAATATACCATAGATTAAATTTTAAAACGTTACAACTGTAAACAAATAAATTTCAATTTAATCCTGCTATTGGAAAAACATAGGTATAAACTATTCAACTGAAAAACGCGAACATTGAACACAAAACCCATAGCTTGCAATAAAAAAAAACTAAAGTATGTGCTTTAGACTATACGATAGAAGTGAAAACATAAACAAGACGAGATTAAAAATATCGAATATAAATTTATAATTGTGGATTGATGGTTGACATAAATGAATATTTAAAGAGAAGATTGGTTGCGGTTGATCAGTAAAAATGAATGTAAAAATAATTATATTTATTTTTATTTTTCCCACATTGCAGCCCAAAGTTCAGGCCTTCTTCAGGGCTAAGAAAAAACAGATAACAATAGGTATAACAAACTATTAAAACTAAAAAAGAAAATGATATGTAGGTGAAAGATGTACTACAAAAAATGTAGGTAGAATAAACTTAAATGAAATTCAAAATAACGATAACTAAGTTAGAAGTAGAAATATAAATTTGTAAAAATATAAATGCGAAATATAAATTTGTTTTTGTTCTGTATTTACAAAATAATCAAATTAGTAATATATACAATTATGGTTGCGTGTAAACTATTTTTTGTTCTATATTCAAAAAGTAATAACATTCGCAATATATGTAATGAAAATTGTTTAAAAATTAGTCTAAAAAATTTTCTTTGACTTATCGTCATTTATATTTTGTACAATGTCATAACATTAAAATGATACAATAGGTTTATGATAAATAAAATATGTTACAATCATAATTTTTTAAAAGAAAAATTAATTTTAACTGATATCTATATTTTATGTGCTGGTAATACTATTCAGTGTAAAATGAAGTACGATAAACTGTTTACATATCTAACATAAATGTTGTCGGTTTAATACAAAAATTACTGAATATATTTTTGATTGATTTTTATCTGAAAGTACGTAGTTGTTAATTTCGATCATATTTATCGATAAAATAGCTCACTAAGTTTTTAGTACCTAATTAAATACACCTTTTATAATTAGGATGTTCTGACTTTATAGAGCAAAAGTTACTTAATGATATTCTTGTTCACTAACGGTTCAAGCAGAATGCCAAAATACATTATCTGCTACTTTATGCGGATTAATAGAAAATTTGTTACTACTATGAATAATTTTTAGCAAATCATTTATATTCGACTGAAACTTCATATATAGCTTCATCTCATCGTAACCTACAAATATTTTATTCATGAAAATTCTCGAAATTGGGGCATTTTCAATCTGGAGGTCGGCAAGCTTTGTTTATTTAATTAGGAACGAAAAACTCGATGTTCAAATGCAG